CTGTTGCTTGGCAACTCAATCGCACAACGTCACGTCCGTTAATTCCACATCCACACGCATGGATTAACATCGATTTAATACATTAATGTAGCCTTTGTTTATACTAAAAGAGGTGTCGACCAGCTGGGGCAACAAGAAAATCGCTGTAATCGAGTGTGACTATTAAAAAATAAATCATTACGTCGGGGTAGCATTTGCTTGGTATTTCCGGTTATTTCTCCACTGGTTAACATGGGTTAACAATACCGTGTAGCTGTCACGCTTTTCACGTTTTGAAAAGACGAAACCGTGACATCTTCACGTCTCCCAGCAATGGTAAAGCGTCACATGTTCACGTCTCACCGTGATACCGGGTTGGTAAAACTTCACTGCCCAGCCAAAAAAAGTAACCACTTTGATTGAACTAGGCCAGTAGGTAAGGACTTTCCACTGGATATTAACTGCAGCGATGTTTATGTTTTAGCTGAATACACGTTTTTTAACCCTAACTGGTGCAGTTAGTCACTTCTTTAATGTTTGTTCTTTCTGATGTAAAGTCAAGGTTGTAACTGTTTGCAATGAAGTCGTGGGGCGCTCAACTGTTCCTTTGATTCTTTTGATACATGATATAATTACTTGTCTTTCAAATTTGAAGGAGGCTGAGCAAGCATCTTGAGGAACATTCATCATTAACTCCTCCAAAAAAACGTGTTTATTCAATAATAAATGAATATGTGAATCATAACAGTGATTGACAGCTGATAGGAATAATATGATCGTTAATATTATCATATTAATTTAGACAAACATCGATGAGACAGTTAATTCATGTACTTATTGCAGCAGTCTGCATAGATTGGTGCCCCTGCTGGTCTAAGAGTGAAACAAACTCATTCAGTTATTGTTCAGTTCATTAAATTAAGTCTGCCACCTTATATATTTATATGTAAGGCTTTGCTGATGTGCCACAATAATGTCACCAAATGTTATGGAGTTAAAATCTCAACATTGTGGCTTTCCAAGTTAACAATGATGATATGACTGCGATTAAATCAGCATATACTTCTTTCAGGGGATGCCACCCCTCAAAATCTCCTGCCATCCTCTTGCCACCCCATCAATATTTGTCTAGATCCGCCCCTGATTTCAAGATATTGTTAAATAATTCCAGTAAAGTTGCAGTATTTTTGCATGTTCTTAATAAATATTTTTGCACCGTTTTTTCAGCATTTTTGATGTGTTTTGTCCAATTAAATAAATGAGTAGGAGAGGAGAGCAGAATGCACTAAGTGTAATTGTTGTAACTAAACTTAGGCCTACTTGTAGTTTGGAGTGTAGGTTGGTTTGCGTATTTATGTAGAGAACAGCCTTTTTCAGTTTTGTGTGAAGATTTGTTGATTTTCAAGTGTTATTTATTTTAATACCACAAAAATAATTCAAAGGACTTAATGTTGTGCTAAAATAAACTAATTATTATAGCAATGAACTAGTAGCATAGAAAACATGCACATTAAGGCATAGTTTCCTTTGTTGATGTCTGCTCTTGTGCGTAGCGATTACTAAAGAAGACCATTGTCTCTGTGTTAACTGATTATTTTGTAGAACTATGTTGAGTATTAAACAATTGCGTGAGTGTGAGGGTATTACAATTAATTGGTCGGTAAGCCAGAGATGTGCAACTATATTTGTCACGGTTTGTGTGGGAAACAGGACCCAAATGCAGACTTAAGTGACAAAAATAATTCCTTTATTTCAAGGCTACAGTATCTAGACACAGAACAGAACACTCACCGCAGAATTACGCATCACTAAGCCACCAGGGTGGGTGGAGGGGGTCTGGAGGACGGGCTTGGGCTGACAGGGGCACGGCAGAGGACCAGGAAGGGGTCTCGGGCGGACGGCCCGGGGGCAAGGCAGAGGACCAGGAAGGGGTCTCGGGCGGACGGCCCGGGGGCAAGGCAGAGTCCAAAATGGGGGTTATGGAGGGGCGAAGGCCACCGCGGGCGAACTCAGGGGGCCGAGCATGAGGGCGAGGACTGCGGCCGGAAAAGTCAGGGGGCCGAGCATGAGGGCAAGGACCGCGGCCGGAAGAGTCAGGGGGCTGGGCCCGAGGGCGAGGACCGCGGCTCTCAGGGGGCCGGGCTCGAGGGTGAAGACTGCGGCTCTCAGAGGGCCGGGCTTGAGGGCGAAGACTGCGGCTCTCAGAGGGCCGGGCTCTCAGAGGGCCGGGCTCTCAGAGGGCCGGGCTCTCAGAGGGCCGGGCTCGAGGGCGAAGACCAGACAAGAGAGCAGTCGGCGGGACCTCCATCAGCACAGGACAAAGGGTTGGCAGGACCCCCGGCAGGAGAGTAGTCGGTGGGACCTCCAACGAGACAGGACAAAGGGTTGGCAGGACCCCCGGCAGGAGAGTAGTCGGTGGGACCTCCAACGAGACAGGACAAGGAGCTGGCAGGACCCCCGGCAGGAGAGTAGACGGCGGGACCTCCAAGGGGACAGGACAAAGGGTTGGCAGGACCCCCGGCAGGAGAGTAGTCGGCGGGGCCTCCAACGGCACAGGACAAATGGTTGGCAGGACCCCCGGCAGGAGAGTAGTCGGCGGGACCTCCAACGAGACAGGACAAGGAGCTGGCAGGACCCCCGGCAGGAGAGTAGTCGGCGGGACCTCCAACGAGACATGACAAAGGGTTGGCAGGACCCCCGGCAGGAGAGTAGACGGCGGGTCCTCCAACGGGACAGGACAAAGGGTTGGCAGGACCCCCGGCAGGAGAGTAGACGGCGGGACCTCCAACGGGACAGGACAAAGGGTTGGCAGGACCCCCGGCAGGAGAGTAGTCTGCGGGGCCTCCAACGGCACAGGACAAAGGGTTGGCAGGACCCCCGGGAACCTCCAACGAGACAGGACAAGGAGCTGGCGTCGTCTGGGGAGCCAGCAGGAGACGAGGTGCTGGAGTCGGCCGGTACACCGACAAGACTCGGGGAGCTGGCGTCGGCTGGGGAGCCAGCCCTGTAGCCGAAACTGGAGTCGAGCCCATGGCTTCCGGGGCCGGTACTGAAGCCGGAACCATGGCTGCGGGGGTCGGAATTGAAGCCAGAATCATGGCTGTAAGGTCCGGTTCTGGAGCCGGAAACATGGCTGTAAGGTCCGGTTCTGGTGCCGGAAATATGGCTGTAAGGTCCGGTTCTGGTGCCGGAAACATGGCTGTAAGGTCCGGTTCTGGAGCCGGAAACATGGCTGTATGATCCAGTTCTGAAGCAGGGACCACGGTTGTAAGATCCAGTTCTGGAGCCGGAAACATGGCTGTAAGGTCCGGAGCTGAAGCCTGGATCATTGCTGTGTGGGCCGGTCTTGGAGCCGGAAACATGGCTGCTGGGGCCGGCACTGGAGCCGGAACCATGGCTGCTGGGCAAGGAACCGGAACACGGATCCATGGCTGTGTGGGGTGGTACTGGAGCACGGTACCATGGCTATGTGGGATGGTACTGGAGCACGGAACCATGGCTGCTGGGTCCGGCACTGGAGCCGGAACCATGGCGGTTGGGGCCTGTACTGGAGCCGGAACCATGGCTGCTGGGGCTCGGGCTGCTAGCCTGGCCTTGCGACGACTCCTCTTAGCAGCCTCCTGAATACTCCGTGGACCTCCATAAGCCTGACGAGTTCCGGAATACGACTCTTGGACAGGAGCAGAACTGGGGCAGAAGCACTGGCTGACTCCAGACGGACCACACCGAGACGTTTGTAGTCAGCAGGCTGGAAATCACACACCCAGAGGAAGTTCAAAATCCAGCCAGGCAAGAACTTCACCAAGTCTGGTTTCTCCATAGCCAACCGGTGCGCCTCTACCAGAGCGGCCTCCCTCTGCCGAACACTGGACGCTCCACTCCACCAATCACAGCAGCAAGCCAAACCAAAGGAATAATGCTGTAGCTCCACCTCAAATGGATCATCTGCTGGGTCCATTTCTGGTCGGTTCGTTCTGTCACGGTTTGTGTTGGAAACAGGACCCAAATGCAGACTTAAGTGACAAAAAGAATTCCTTTATTTCAAGGCTACAGTATCTAGACACAGAACAGAACACTCACCGCAGAATTACTCAAAACACAAGACGAACCGACAAAGACAGATGGAAAAACCAGAACTTAAATACACCCAGGACTAATCAAACAAACACGAGACAGGTGAGGAGGTAGGAGAAGACACAGAGGCACCAGGTGAACACAATCGGGTAATCAGGGAGGGAAAACAGACAGAAAGCAACAGGCAGGAAACGGGGGGTGAACAATTTACAAAATAAAACAGGAAACCCAAAGATAGAAAAAGACAAGACAAAACAACAACACAGACAGATCGTGACAATATTTCACTTTTGGTTTTACATTTTTTTTATAAATGATTATGAGATGTGCCCTTTTTCTCACTTGAGCCCCTGCCCCCCAAAATGTCTGTGCACGTCCCTGACGTTGAGTAACGATAAGATTACTTTTGAGTGTGTGTCGCAGCGTTAATAGTTGTGCATTTTTTATTTCATTTTACTTTCAGTCAATTTTCAGAGTTTTAGTTTACTTTTTAAATATTAGGTTTGCATTTTATATATTCCGTATTTTTATATTGAAGTCGTTTGTTTGAATTGAAATATTGAGTTTTTTTATTTTTAGATATTAACAAAATGTTTTAATATATTAATTAAATGTTCATATATTTAGATTTGATTTGTTTGGTTTAAAATGTAGAGATGTATTCCTTTTACTTTTCAGTGTATAGTTTTATTTGTATACTTCTGTTTGTACTTTTTATATATTCATGTTTCTTTGTATTAGGTTTACATTTTTGTCTGTTTTGTTTTTATTTATTAAGGTGTTTTCTGAAACTAAGGGGAGATTTTGTTTATTTTCATGTCTATAATTATTCGTTTTTTTAACCAGGCGAAATAATTTCTTCAGTTGCTTTTCTGAAAGGATATCATTGATATTTCATTTCAGTTTTCTCTATACTTTTCCATAATCCCCCTGGTGTTTGTGTTCAGTGTTCAGTGGGATGAACCTCCCGAAGCCCACGGAGCCTCAGCCTCAGCAGAGTTGGCCTGAGTTCAGCTCGGCTCCTGGCCCTCCAGCTCCCCCACCGCAGTAAGAACAACATTTCATTTGTTAGAAAGAACACACACACATGGCTAACAGCGTGAACGAAGTATAATTACTAGGGCTGTCAATCAATTACAAATATTTAATCGCGATTAATCGCATGATTGTCCATAGTTAATCGCGATTAATCGCAAATTAATCGCACATTTTGTATCTGTTCTAAATGTACCTTAGAGGAATATATTTCAAGTTTTTAATACTCTTATCAACATATGAGTGGACAAATATGCTTTATGCTAATGTTTATTATCATTTGAACAATGACAAATATTCTCATGAATATTAAACACAACAACCTCTGAACATTAAAAATATTCGCCTCAATTCAACCTGGAACCTCTCTCATTCAATAATACAATACAACTGGTGTGTGTGTGTGTGTGTGTGTGTGTGTGTGTGTGTGTGTGTGTGTGTGTGTGTGTGTGTGTGTGTGTGTGTGTGTGTGTGTGAGTGTGTGTGTGGTGTGTGTGTGTGTGTGTGTGTGTGTGTGTGTGATGGATCGTTGGAGCTATGTGCAACTCAAGGCATATGCTCGAACGGGAGCTGCCTGGACGCTGCAATCAACAGCTCCATATCCGTTAAACTAGCTAGCACCAGATGCTAACAACAACAATGCACGTAAGGACACCCTCTCTCGCTCGCTCGGGCCACACATACACACACCCTCCCGGTCCTCCCAACAGCCAGTCGGTGCCTGCCGGTGAGCGGGCGGCAGGAGCGGGGCTGTCAGCATCAGCTTGTAGATGGTATTTTAAACTTGATGCGCTCTGAAACTACGGGGCGGCCGAGGAAAAAAAATACACATGCGTTAATCGCGTTAAAATAATTAGTGGCGTTAAAAAAAATGTGCGTTAACGCGTTATTAACGCGTTAACTTGATAATAATAATTACAGATCTGAACTGGGAAAGTCTGTTCTCCGTGTTATTTTACCGGGACACACCAATCCACACCGTGCCATCGCTAGAACCCAATTTCCTGGAGACCCCATCTCCTTTACATGTTCATTAAAGGGATATTTTCTTAATATTTATTATACTCTTATCAATCAATCAATCAATCAATGTTTATTTATATAGCCCAATATCACAAATGTTACATTTGTCTCAGTGGACTTTACAGTTTGTACAAAATATCAGTATGACAATACGACACCCTCTGTCCTTAGACCCTCACATCGTACAAGGAAAAACTTCCGGAGAAAACCCACAGTTTAAAGGGAAAAATGGGAGAAACCTCAGGGAGAGCAACAGAGGAGGGATCCCTCTCCCAGGACGGACAGACGTGCAATAGATGCCGTGTGTAAATTGAAAAGATAATACATTTGCAACATAGGTAGTCCAAATGTTTGGAAATGCATGTGTGTATAATAGGAAGATGAATCCACGAGGATATCCATCCAGGACCTATGATCCAGGACCACAGCCACGACTCAAGATCCAGGGCTCGCGATCCAGGACAGAGGAGCGCAGGATCATCCATGACTCCGGATCCCGGCGTATATAGACACCAAAAAGAAAGACATTTGGGGAAGCTGGGTTAATCGGAACATGAGAGTACACAGGTATAGACAGAGAGAAGGAAGAAGTAAGATGTCCCCCGACAAACTAAGCCTATATCAGCAAAACTAGGGGCTGGATCTAATCAGCCCTAACTATAAGCTTTATCAAAAAGGAAGGTCTTAAGCGCACTCTTAAAAACGGATAGGGTGTCTGCCGCCCGAACACAAACTGGAAGCTGATTCCACAAATGTGGAGCTTGATAAGAAAAGGCTCTGGCTCCCATTGTACTTTTAGAGACTCTAGGAACAACCAACAACCCTGCATTCTTGGAACGCAATGCCCTAGTAGGACAGTAGGGTATAATGAGTTCTTTAAGGTAAGATGGCGCCTGCCCATTAAGGGCTTTGTAGGCGAGAAGAAGAATTTTAAATTATATCCTGTGTTCTATAGGGAGCCAGTGTAAGGCAGCCAGAACAGGAGTAATGTGGTCCCTTTTCCTAACTCTGGTTATTGCACAAGCCGCAGCATTTTGAATCAGCTGAAGCGACTTGACTGACTTCTTGGTACACCCTGATAATAAAGAGTTACAATAATCCAGCCTTGAAGTAACAAATGCATGGACTAGTTTCTCTGCATCGTTTTGAGGCAAGATATGCCTGATTTTTGCAATGTTACGTAGATGGAAGTAGGCGGTCCTTGAAATTGATTTTATGTGGGCGTTAAAGGATAAATCCTGATCAAATATAACACCAAGATTCCTTACAGTCTCACTGGAGGCCAAATTAATGCCATCCATAGTTAGTATATCCTTAGATAATTTGTTTCGTAGATTCTTCGGGCCAAGTACAATAACTTCAGTTTTGGTCGTGTTTAACATCAAAAAGTTTAAGGTCATCCACGTTTTTAAGTCCTTAAGGCAGTCTTGAATTTTATTTAGATGATTAATTTCATCAGGCTTGATTGATAAATATAGTTGAGTATCATCCGCATAACAATGAAAGTTTACAGAATGATTCCTTATAATATTGCCTAACGGAAGCATATATAATGTGAACAAAATAGGTCCGAGCACTGAGCCCTGTGGCACTCCATGGCTAACTTTGGTTTGCGTGGAAGATTCATCATTGACACGTACAAACTGAGAGCGTTCAGATAGATAGGACCTAAACCAGTCTAAAGCAGTTCCCTGTATGCCAACTAAGTGCTCTAGTCTTTGCAATAAGATATCATGGTCGATAGTATCAAATGCAGCACTGAGATCGAGCAAAACAAGAATAGAGACACGTCCCTTGTCAGAGGCTATTAGAATGTCATTTGTGACTTTAACCAGAGCTGTCTCTGTGCTATGATGTGTTCTAAAGCCAGACTGAAAAGCTTCAAATAAATCATTGTTTTTTAAGTAATCACACAACTGTTTTGCGACCGCTTTCTCAAGAATTTTTGAGAGGAACAGAAGATTAGAAATAGGTCTATAGTTGGCTAAAACCTCTGGATCGAGGTTGTGCTTTTTAAGAAGCGGTTTTATCACTGCTACTTTGAATGATTGTGGAACATAGCCTGATAATAAAGACATATTCATAATATTTAATAAATAAGTGCTAATTAATGGAAAAACTTCCTTCAACAGCTTAGTTGGAATTGGGTCTAACATGCACGTTGATGGTTTAGAAGAGAGAATCATTGAATTGAATTGTTCAAGGTTTATGGCTGAAAAGCATTCTAGTTTACTATCTAGTGTAATATTAGAACTTACGTTTCCGGGAGCTGTTGATAACACTATACTGGTCAAAGGCAAGAGGTCATTAATTTTGTTTCTAAGAGTAACAATTTTATCGTTAAAAAAGCACATAAAATCATTACTACTGAGTGCTATGGGAATAGAAGGCTCAATCGAGCTGTGGGTTTCTGTCAGCCTGGCTACAGTGCTGAAAAGAAATCTTGCATTATTCTTATTCTCATCTATTAATGAAGAGTAGTAAGCTGCTCTCGCTTTACGCAATGCTTTCTTATATTCATTGAGAGTAATATGCCAAATTAAACGAGATTCTTCAAGTTTAGTAGAACGCCATATCCTTTCAAGTTGTCTCGACTTTTGCTTTATTTTGCGGGTTTCGGCATTATGCCATGGAGCTAGTCTATGTTGTTTTATTTTCTTCTTTTTCAAAGGAGCAACAGAGTCTAATTTTATTCGCAGCGCATCTGTAGCACTATCAACAACATGATCAATTTGGGGTGGTGTACATTTTGTATAAGTTTCCTCCCTTACATGCAGACATGCTATCGAGTTAAGTATTGGTGGAATCTCTTCCTTAAATTTGGCTATAGCACTAACAGATAGGTTTCTGCTGCAGGAGCTTTTGACTAATGCTTTGTAGTCTAGTAACAGTACTTCAAAAGTTACTAAGAAATGGTCGGATAAAGCAGGATTATGCGGTTCGACTAATAGTTGCTCAATTTCAATACCATAAGTCAGAACAAGGTCGAGAGTGTGATTATAGCAGTGGGTTGGTTTATTTACACTCTGACAAAAACCAACAGAATCTAATATAGAGTTAAATGCAACAGTAAGGCTATTTTTATCATCGTCAACATGAATATTAAAGTCACCTACGGTAATTACTTTATCTGTTTTAAGAACCAAAGTTGATAAAAACTCAGAGAATTCAGATAAGAATTCTGAATAAGGACCTGGTGCACGGTACACTGTAACAAATAAGATTGGCTGCAAAGTTTTCCAGGTCGGATGCGTAAGACTAAAAACGAGACTTTCAAAGGAGGTATAATTTAATTTTGGTTTAGTATTGATAAGTAAACTTGAGTCAAAGATGGCTGCAACTCCACCTCCTCGGCCCGTGCCTCGGGCAATATGAGTATTGATATGGCTGGGTGGAGTGGCCTCATTTATGCTGACATATTCTTCATGTCTCAACCAAGTTTCAGTGAGACAGCATATATCAATATTATAATCTGATATTAAATCATTTACCAATATTGCTTTAGATGCTAGAGATCTTATGTTTAAGAGACCACATTTAATATTCCTGTTTTGTTGCACTGTAGTAGTTGTTACATTTACTTTGATTAGGTTATTATGTATGACACCTCTATTAGGTTTTACCTTAACTTGTCCTTGGGCAGACACACACACCGCTAATATTGGGTATTTTATTGGGTTCGGGATTCCTATGGATGACTGCCTAGGAGAGAGCGCAGAGAAGCGTGTAAGACTGCGACTCCGCCTCCTGGTCTCAACTCCAGTTTGTCATGGATTAAGTCCACAAAGCCCTGAAATGTTTGCCGAAATGAGATCGGCACCTTCCAAAGTAGGATGAATGCCGTCTCTCTTAATCAGACCAGGTTTTCCCCAGAAGGCTGTCCAATTATTTACGAAGCCCACATTGTTTGCTGGGCACCACCAAGACAACCAGCGCTGAAATGATGACATGCGGCTATACATGTCATCATTGATCAGATTGGGGAGGGGACCAAGAAGATTACGGTGTCCGACATTGTCTTAGCATAACTACACACCGACTCCACATTAAGTTTGGTGCATTCTGATCGGCGTATACGAACATCATTACCACCGACGTGAATAACAATCCTACTGTATTTACGTTTATTTTTAGCCAGCAGTTTAAGATGCGCCTCAACGTCGCCCGCTCTGGCCCCCGGAATGCATGTGACTGTGGAGGCTTCGGTCTCTAATTTCACGTGTCTCATAATAGAGCTACCAATAACCAGAGTTGGCTTCTCAGCGGGTGTCTCGCTGAGTGGGGAATATCTGTTAGACACGTGAACGGGTTGGTGGGGACCTGCGGGTTTCGCGTTATGCCCCTTCTGAACAGTCACCCAGTCTCCCTGCTGCTCGGGAGTTGCCGGGGGACGGCTAATAGGAGCTACCTTTGCCGGTCCGCACCGGCTAACATGGGCTTTACTGTAGCCGAGTTTCTTTCTAAGATGCGGAGCCGGGCTTCTATGGCTATGATTCCCGCCTCCAACCTAACAACTATACTACATTTAACACATGTACCGGTACCAGTAAAGGAGGTAGGGAAGTAACCAAACATGAGACAGTTAGAGCAGGAAATAGCAGCCGAGGGTGGGGAAAGAGCCATGGCTAGCTATCAAGCTAAAGTAGCTACCGTTAGCAAACCCGAAAAGAGTGTAGGCAACTGTGGAGTTACAGTCGCTAAGAGAAGGAGAGTTGTGAGAGCTTAAGTTATAGTAACGTGTGATTACAACGTCAGGCAGTTGCCGTGATCAAGAGTTTTAAAACGATCGATTAAGTTAAGATAATAAGCTATCAGCAACAGAACGGACACACGGGATACCCGGAGATGACAACAACCGGAAGTTACAACATGCTTACCGCAATAGTGGTCCGTGTAGAAACAGTGTCCTTATCAACAAAGAAGTGGACAAATATGCTTGCTTTGTATATAAAAAAAAAGGCACATTTAAGTTAAGTGTTATACTCTTTTTCAACAACACATTATAGGTCTCAGATATATATAAAACATGTCTCTGAAGTGTTTGGCTCAAACACCAAACTGCTGCTGCTGGCCACGCCCCTCTGAGAGATATTTGGTTAAAAAGAACAAAATGGTGCTCTAGGAGGAGATTAAGGTGATAAGGTGGGGGGGAGGGGGGTGATTGTCAAAACATCGTTATGACATCATAAAGTGGCCCAAATCTGATCAGCTTATTTTCAGACAGGTTATTATAGAAATGGATCAGGACAAAAAGAGAGAGAATCTTTGTTCCTGAAACTTTCAGAATGTCTTTACACAGAGGGGACACATGTTGATGTAGAAGAGACATGAAGAAGAGGGGACACATGTTGATGTAGAAGAGACATGAAGAAGAGGGGACACATGTTGATGTAGAAGAGACATGAAGAAGAGGGGACACATGTTGATGTAGAAGAGACATGAAGAAGAGGGGACACATGTTGATGTAGAAGAGACATGGAGAAGAGGGGACACATGTTGATGTAGAAGAGACATGAAGAAGAGGGGACACATGTTGATGTAGAAGAGACATGAAGAAGAGGGGACACATGTTGATGTAGAAGAGACATGAAGAAGAGGGGACACATGTTGATGTAGAAGAGACATGAAGAAGAGGGGACACATGTTGATGTAGAAGAGACATGAAGAAGTGCATTTTGGATAATAGGCAAGTCTCTCACAGATCCTCTCTTCTCCCCCTTCTCTTCAGTCCCTCCTGGGTAACGCCCGCAGCCTCTGGTCTGCCCCGACGCCCTTCAGCTCCTCCATCTGGTCCACCAGCGCTGACTCTGCGCTGCACCCGTTCCCCCCGGCCTCCAGCTCCTCCTCCACCCTGACGGACCTGGTGTCCCCCGTCACCCCCCCCCCCCCCCCCCCCTCCGAGATGAGCCGCACCTACAACCCGTGGAGCATGTGGCGCCCGACACTGAGCCGCCGCAGCTCCGAGCCCTGGCCCAGCTCCTCGGACAACAACAACGACAACAACAACAACTGAACAACACTTAAAGAGGAGGTTTTCATTATTTTAATCCCGACAGGAAGTTACCCTGAAGTGTAAGAACAGGGTTGCGTGGTATCGCGCTGCAAGCCAACCAACCCTTCGCAATTTAGTTCTCCGCAGCTTTTTATTCACGGGGGAAGAAATGCTAATTTTATTTGGATTTGTTTTTTAACAGATTGTCCCTGAATTAAAAAAATTAATGCATGGTATGCTAATGCCAGTGCAGACATGTTGCTGTTCTAGAAAGGCTGGTGATGCTGCATCCTTCTCAGAGTTTGTCTCAGTATTAACATTTTCATTTTAAACGTATTCTCAGTCATTTTGGTTCTTATTGGTTTCTAAAAAAAGACATTTGAATCATTGCACCAACTTTAATTTGGCAGCGGGGATTTTTTCATGATCTGAATTTTCAGAAGTCCAACAAATAAATTCTTATTTCACATTTTAAACAGGAATTGGTCAATGAACACTTTGAGGCTTGTTATCGCCTCTATTTGTCAGCTAATTTAAATAAAGGATTTCAGCAGAACATTTTGTGTTTCATTTGATTTCATTTACATCATGCAGAAAATAATGTCAAGTAACATAATGACGTTAAGGACGGATTAACAATGAGATGGCTGCAGATACATGGGGTAATACATCATTAATACATTTCATACCAAACAGATCATGCATTTTAGCCATTCCTCATTTCGCTCAATTTAACACTGTCTTTTCATGGGCTGTTTCTGTGAGAACAGCACCATCTACAGGCCTGGCATATGTACTACAGCGTCTCCAGCGCTTTCGAACGGCAATGTCCGTGGCTGTCTCCTCCTGATTGGTGGAGTCGGCCCAGTAGCCGTAGCGCCACCTCTGTGACGTCACAGAAGTGTTCAAATCTGGATCAGTCTGTATCAGATCCGTTGCAGCCCCTTTTTAAGAGATTTGGGTATGGAGGAAAATAGAGAGGGTTGTGTTTTCTGACACTTGGTGAGTTCCCTGGAACACCGGGGACACATATTCATGTATAAAAGACGTACAAAAGTGCATTTTGCATGATAGGTCCCCTTTAAGTTAAGTGTAGGATCCATTTATGTGTGTTGTCAGTTTCTTTTGTTTATATTTATCTTGCAATATTATTTTGAACACAACTACAAACATTCATCTAATCATTCAACTCTGGTATTCAATCAATCAATCGGATACGGCTGTAGTAGGCCTAGGGCCTTTTAGTCGCTCATAAATAAGTAGATCCCTGTTCTTTACAGTAGCGTGGCGTGGGAAAAAAATTAGGGGAAGCCAATAATATGTCCTTTCTTTTGGGTCGGGGGTGTGGTGGTCAATGTAATAACGTAACCAGATGAGTGATTACAGCACCCGGTATCATTTTACACACATTTGTATCATACAGATGTAGGACTGTTAGCCTGTTATCTAACCGACAGGTCCGCACGCACTCTCCAGCCGAAACTCTAATAAGCATTCATTCACAAACTAAATCAGGAGACCTTTAACGTTTTACGTCCGACTCGCTCCTTTTTTCCTCGCTGTACACAGCTCCAGTTTGGGCATCGGCCTGTCATCAGATTGTATTTGTTGTTGCTGCTGTAGCGGAAGTTTAGTACAATTATTTTTGATGAAATACTCCAAATCTCCACCCTCCATATTAATGCACTTGCTTCAGTTGCTTTCTACTTTCTAACAGCGGTGAGAGTGGTGCAGTGACGCTATCTATCTTCTATCGATTAGATTTATGATTCGAACATTATAAAAGTAGGGTAGACATGTGGATATTATCCGACTGAACAAAACGTGCATTTATCAAACAGGTTCGTTTTCCACTGACCTTATTTCGAGCTATTCCAAAATCCTATGGAGAAATCCCATTGCTTTTTTGTCGAGGGAAACCGAGCGCAGATTACTTCCGGGTTTTAGGATGCGTCACTGCAACACTAAGTTGATGCGATTTGATTGTGAGGCAATGGAATTCAGCCCATGAGCAAGCCGCCTCTGGCCCAGTCTCAGGTCGACTATTTTAATTTCCTCGCTCCTCGGTCTCACTGGAAGTTGATTTGTCTGCGCCATCTTGAGTACCGTCCCATGACTCTTATTTCTGCCGGAGGAGCGAGGAGCGATAATGGAGGAGCGATAATGGAGGAACCACCAGACCATCCTCCGATGAATCCTCAGATACTCGCCCCGCCCCCTTACTGTGTATCGCTCACTGATTGGACGATGCAGTGCATGCACTGATCTGATGCTTCTTGACATGAGAGCAGTTTCCCAGCGGAGTGAAGAAAACACATGAACCTCACAGGACTCACTCCTCAGTTTATACTGTGTTTTGTTTCAATTCATGTTTCATTTAGTTACAAATATGTGATATATCTGAACAACAAAGTGGTCAAAAATCATTTTATTCATTTGTTGGAAACATTTTCATGATCGCTTTTTCTCCGGAGGAAAGGACGTCCCATTGCTCTTAAAACTAATTTCCCTGCTTGTCGTGGTTTCCTTGCGTCCCTCCATGCTTCACTGGTGGGAGGGACTAGTCGCATGGAAACGACGCAAGTGAGGGAAGCAAGGATTTCATTTAACCGACCTGAGACGACCTCTGTCTTCCCTTGGCATAGCCCTGACTAATCACATGTTGGCAGGGGCATGACGTGAGCCTTGTCTGATTGGTCAATCCCTCCATTTTTTTTTCACCAAGGGTATGGGGGTTATTCCCTATCTTTTTTCAAGAGTGTGGTATTTAAATTTGAGAGCATACTTTATTCTTTCACACACAGTGACGTCACGAGCTACCCACAATGCAACACGCGCCATATATATATATATATAAATACGCCATTTTCCTGGAGGTGCAAATATCCTGGAAGTGCAAATATAAACAGCTAGCTAACGTAGCCATGCAGAGCGCACTAGTTTTTTTTTCTGAATTAACGACCGAAGAAATCGCTGCATGTCTTCGGATTACATCTCTGGACTTGAGGGGTGTGCTCTAGGTCGTTACCAGCGTAAACTAGAGCTGTGTGGGTTGTCCGATTGCCCTTACAGACTGCCTGCAGATGTATGGAAAAACGACAGTGGCCTTCGTCGATTTTGGCTGCATCTACGTCTAATTTCTGGAAACACCAGGTGAATACCCCACTTGTCACAATAATATTATCATGCCATTGCATATATGTGGTATTTTAGAGTTGACTAGATATTGATTAAGGCAATAGACTATGATATTCAGTACAGGAAGCTTAGCAACACCTAGACGGTGTACGGCTGCTTTCACCTCGCGTAAAACGGCGGATACCGGAAGTACGGTGTCGCCCTCGGCCCAATACAAAAAAAAAACATTGTCACAGCTCACAGGATAGGTACCTGTCAGCCAATAAGACATATGTTTATTTCCATTCAACTCTCTGGTTGGTCTGGTGTCTTGCCTCTGTTGCATTCACTGAACACGGGAAATTACATTCCTGCCGTCCTCTCTAGTGTCATGATGAGGTTCAGGTAAAGCACGGTTAATGTATTATATTATCGACTCAATCATATAATACATGACTTTGAGAGTAGGCAATCTAGGCATATTAACACAATTAATTAAACATACTTATCACGGTGTCGGTGTACTAGGGGCAACATTCCTGTCAAAATCCCTCAACCAATAGGAGGCCAGGTGTCCTTGCGGGTGCGTTCGCTTTAGTCATTACAGCGTCCCGTAAGGGCGGTTACTCTTTGGTTTATAAACTCCCGCCCTCCACGGCTTTATAACATAACATGTACTGCACTGTACAACTTTTTTTTGGGGGGGGGAGGTAAGCACAGTTAGTATATGTTTATAAAACGGACAAGTCAAATCAAGCAATCTGATGTTTCTTAGCCGTGATATAATGAGCGTATATCCAGGGAATAATTGTAGTTACTTTTCCCAAGTCAGTATCCCTCCGCGTCTGAGAAAAGCTACAACTGTTACATTATGTCCGTCACGAAACTAACTAACTAACTAACAAAGCTTAAGATGGAAACATTTAACCCTTCTCTTGCGTTAGGTCATACCCCCCTTCCCATGCTATTTTCGGTCAAAATTTACCGGTGTGTTTTGAACAGTGATATCCAGTGGCGCCTGGTCATTAGGGGCACAGCCCCACCTAGTGTCAGCAGAAAGTATTACAAATAATGATTACAACAAAATGCAAAAAAATAATTAAAAAAATATAAAATATTTTTTAAGATCATGTTTAATCATCTGATTCGTCTGTACATTGCTGTTTTATTCTGTGTTCTTCTAATTAGTGTCTACAGTGTGTGCCTATTGAGCTGTTTAGAGCCATGTGGGAAAAAACCCGATCCTGCCCCTCCCTCTCTCTGTCTAAGTGAACCCCTTATCCAATTTTGATGGTTGACATCTCATTTGAACAGTCAAAGCAAGTAGAATCAAGGGATGACAGACAGAATGACACCAGGGGTGAATTTCATATTCTTTTTGGCAGTAAGTTCAAAGATAGTGCTTATTTTACATTACTGTATATTATAAAAATGCTTGCCATGTAGGCTGTGTTTACTGGAGATGGAAATTATTTAGTTGGTGTTGTAGCTGAGATTCAGGGGCCACTTCCTGGTCTGTTGTAGGCTCATAGTCTGGATCGCTGTTGTCTTCCATTTCTGATACATCTTCCTCTATCTCCTCTTCATCTGGTTCAATCTCCTCTTCATCTGGTTCAAAAATGTGTCCAGAGCCCCTCGTACAGAAAATCGCCTAATCGGTCGGTCGCCTGCTCATTGTGTCAATGAGTCAAATGTGAGCAAGGCACAAATATAACTGCTTGAGAGCCAGTAAGGGAGGCGCATTTAGCACGAGAAAGTGAGAGGTTTGTGTTTCTCGAGGGGCACAGAGCTTGCACCTGTGAGAAGGTATGATACATAACATTATATCATACAGCGCGAGAAAGGGAGAAGTTCCCGTAACGTGTGTGTATAGATGTTTTCCATCTGCAGGATGAACATAATACACTCATATTCATTTGCTATGGCGGTCAAATCTGACCGAAAACCTCAAGAGTGTTTCACTGTTGAATAAATCACTCAAAATTTAATGCAAGTGGTGATCATCAAGTGTAGGCCTATATGTTCAGAGGCCTAGTGTGGAGGATAACATAAGGTATTGAGGCAATTGGATGAAAAACACAATATTTATGATTAAAATAATAGTCATTCGGTCACTTTTGACCCGAAACGCAAGAGAAGGGTTAAGGTTAACTTCGACCTCCGGGGTGGCCTTACTATGGAGGAGTGGATTGAGAAGTGCCTATCTCCAGAAAAAAAAAAGCACCTAAACGAGGACATACGCTAGCTGTTATTGTTGTCGCATAGCAACCACCTCGTACTATGTTTTATGCAGAAGGCAACGGAGGGACGATTTTATTTTAGTCCCAGTCCGCCACTGAACGTAGCTATTATGTAAGGTATATATACTAACTGTGCTTCCCCACCCCCCGTCCCCACTTGTTTTATTTACAAAAAGGTGTAAATCAAACAAGTGCAGTA